GGGATCGCGAGCTGCGGCGGCTTGCTGGGCCGATCGCGGATCTTTGCTTCGTTGAAATCCCCCCTGTCGTGCGAGGAGGGGGGGCACCACGCAGCCGCACGATTGATCGTCTTCTTGGAGAGGCGGAAGTGGTTGGCGGGAGCGGTGGCGATGGCGGGAGTCTGTCGATCTCCGCGATGACGCCGTCGAGTGCGTGGGAGGACTTCCCGGGAGCCGGACTCGCTCTCGCGGTTCTGAACAGCGTCGGCAGCGTCGTTATTCTGCGCGCGCTGCAGAGTGAGTTGCCGTTAGTACAGATGGTGCCCGATCTCCTCCCGATGAGTCCGGTGATGAACACGAGTATGGGCAGCTTCGCTGACACCCATCTGATGCGGAGTTTTCGGATGCCGAAAAACGACGGCGCACCGTCATCAGGTACGCAGCCGCCAGGCTACCCACCTACCACGAGCAACGCGGTGAGCTCGCCTTCCGTGCGAAACTTCGCCGATCTCTTTGGCAACACAGAGGAGATGATGGTCGGGCACGTGTTGAGTCGAGGGTTGCTTTGTATTACCCAGCTCGAGGGCGATTACGGCACGGTAGAGCTGGTAGTGAGCACGATGGGGCACCTCATCGTGTCGATCGCGTTTAATGCGACGGAAAATCGCTTCTTTATCGCGGATACTATGATCACGCCGGCGGCGATGTACTTTGTGGGGTTTGTTGATTTCTTTGCAACCGGTTGCGCGGATTTGGTGATGGCGAGCCATAGCACCGTGTTGGTCGCGCGGCGCTCCCGGGCCGCGCTGCAGGAAAAGGCGTCGTTGCTGCTCCGTCTCCTGCAGGCCCGTGGGATGTGGCCGCTGCTGAAGGCAACGGAATCCGTGGAAATTTAGATGTTAGAGTGCGGTGATATGCTTAGAAAAGTGATAGAATATGATGGGCGAATTGGAGTTCTGCTCCTTCTGTTTTGTGGATATTTGGGAAAAAAAGAAAGCGTCATACATTGCTTGTTTTATTGTTCTTGTTTTTTTTCCTTGTATAAGGAGAGAGAGGGAAAGAAAAAGAATAAGTGTTTGAATCTTCGAGCTATAAGTGATCTATAACCCTCTCAAAAAAAAAGCAACTAAAAATCACAACAACAAAAAACACATAAATCAAAAAAGTGCTGTCGTAAGCACGTTTCACTTTCCCCCTTCCCCTCCCCCCTAACACTAGGTGGGGGAGCCTTTTTACTGTTATGATGAATCCATTCAAGGCGGCCACCCAGATCAGCCCAAGAAAGCGCTTTTCGCTGCAACATGCGGTTCGTGTGTGTAGTGAGGTGGAAAAATTGGAGGCCCAGCTGTGTATTGACGAAGCAACGATGCTAGAGGCACTTCGAAAACTCGCCGAGGTGTTAATTTACACTGATAAACACAACGAGATGGTGTTTGATCATATCATGGGCCGGGATCCGATGAACACCCTGGAACGGATCGCAACCAACGCGGACATCAGTCAAGCGATTAAGCTGCAGGTTTTTAAATGCTTAACGATTTTTTTCCAGAACCTTACACGGGTGTCGTCTGTTTATTTAGCCTTCAGCAATAATCATCTGAATCGCATCATCGCGTTGGAGCCGGATTCGTCGGACGACGAGCTGACGTCGATGTACATTTCTTTGCTCAAATCATTAGCCCTTCGGTTGAATAAGGATACCGCACAGCTTTTTTTCGAGATCCACACCGGTGCGTTTCCGCTTTTCGACAAAGCCGTGCAGCTTTTAGGATCTTCGGATCCGATGGTGCGTACGGCAGCGAAGCAGATCGTAGTGACCATCGCCCAACTCGAAGACGACGCGATCGCGCGGTTTCTCCATCGGGCGATGGAGGAGGTCTACGTGATCGTCGCAAGGTCCGTCGCGCATCAGCTGATCTCGTTGGGAAGGATTTCCCAGACGCATCGCGGTGGGGAAGGCGAGGTCACCGCGGCGCTACGGGCGCTGCGTAACGCGATGGAAAACATCGTCGATGACCTTTTCTATCTCAACGATCTCTGCCACACCCCGCAGCCGTACGCCGCGGAGCGTCTGATGGCGATTTTAACTGAACATCTGCTTCAACCTCTTTATATGCTTCTTTGTTGTGCATTAGATCCGAATTATTCGACTGAGGGGGGGTTGAAGGATCATGATAGCGCAGAAAATGACGTTCCGCACGAGGAGGGTGGCGTATTTTCCAACTTCGCGGCATTTCGTTCAGACGTGCCTCCCGAGACGGCGCTTGGATTTTTAGCACGCTGGGCAGAAGTCAACGACGTGGAGCTCCTTCACAGCCACCTCGCGTGGATTTTTTTCCACGATGCGGCGGCTCCCGTTGGTGGGGAGGGGGGGAGTTTTCCCCAGGGTTTGGAGCTTGGTGGGGTGATCGGTGGGATCCTGAGCTCGGAGCGGGTGGATTGGTATCATGGCGCCCTCCTGTTTTGGATAGTCATGCGCACAAAGCCGCTTTCAGAGTTGATGCATCGGCACGTGGAGATACCGACATGGATCGGGAGGCATGACGACCGCTTTCGAAACCCTTCTCGATGCGTTTTGGAGGGGTCGTCGGATCGATTCGCCTGCGAAACGGTGGAATCGACCGTTTCCCCCCACGCAGCGCCCCCGGCGGCTTTTTTCTCCCCACTCCGTGAACTCGACGAGGATGAGGTCGGGGCGAGCCTCCTGGGGATCCTCCGCGCGCTTTTCACGACGCTCGACGTTTTAGTGCGAAATCCGTGCTCGGGGAGCCTCGCGGATGTTCACCTCGCCTTTGAATCCATCGCCCACGAGCGGGCGCGATCCCCGTCGCCATGCCTGCGTCGCGCGATCGAAAAAATGGCGGCGGCAGCGCTGCAACGGGCCGCGATGGAAGGCTGCGGCCTTTACGAGGCCTACGCCCCCCTCTGCGAAGGCGTCCACGCCGCCCTCTCCTCTGGCAACCCCGCAGGGCTGCCGCGTCTTCTCGAAGGGGGGGATCCGCCGTCTGCTCTCGCCCTTTGCGTGGTCGGCCTCGGCATCGGCGACGTCCGGGTGGGGGTGTTTCTCGCGCTCAAAACCGCTTGGGGGGTCTTCGAATCGGTCGTCCGCCCTTCCCTCGAGGCGGTGGTGCAGGAATGGACGACAACAGGAGGGGGTCGCGCGAAGAACCCCGCCGTGTTGCTTCCTGTGGTTTCCTCTTCAACAAGGGATGGTTCGGATGGGAAAGCCGCGGCGGATGGTGGCGCCCTGCCGCTTTTCCGACGCCCTCCGCTTTCCGTCGACGAGCGCGAGGGGCGGCCGCTGCTCCAGTGGCTGCTGCTCCGTCAGCTGCTCGACGGCTGGGGAGAGGAAGCGAAGGGGGAGCGCGAGAATCGCGGGGATTCGCTCGAGGCGCAGCTCCGTCGCCTCTCCACCCTCCGCGCGGCGGATGCGTTTCCCGCAACGCCGATGACGAGGCCGATTCGCTGCGAGTTCGTGATGGTGCGCTGCATCGGGGGGCGGCGGAGCGCACTCTCTGTGGCGGGGTCTGCGTTGCGCGTGATGTTTACCGATCACGAATTGCTGCTCGCGGCGGTGGAGGAGGGGGTCGGGGGTGCGTGGGATCTTGCCTATGTTCGCGCCTTGGGGCTTCACGCGACGAGCTTCCGCGTGATTGTGGAATATCATGAACCGCGGAACGAGGCGGAGATCCACCTCGCCTTTCGCACCACGGAGGATGCCAAGGCGGCGGTGGATCTCATCAATGCGCAGGCGGCGCGTTGTAGGGCGATGGGAGCTGCGTTATGCTCTAGTTTTCTTCCGCTAGTTAGGTAAGGGAAAGAGGAAAATATAGAGAATGCTTTGCTTTTGATGCGCTGTGACTCCGTCAACATTGAAGGGGTTATGTGCTTGCCTAAACGAGAATTCAAGTGATTTTTTCTAATCGAAACGGTAACTCTAAATCGCTTAAGCGAAAGGCAGTAGAGGTGTATGCCAGTACATCTTGATATGCCCCCTTTCCCTCTTCCCACGTGTGTGGATGTTTTCTTTTTAAAATCTTGCCTACAGAAGTAACAGTAGACGATGTTATTTGACATCATCTTTGCTAGTACTGATTAAAGTCTATAGCTCTATGAGTAAATGTTTACTCTTTTTTTCTTCTTGATCAAATAGCCAGCCATTGATAAACGGTTGTGTGTGGATGTCCCCTTTCCTATTTTATACAGATGAAATCCAAAAGGTGGAGCGCTGCAACGTTGCATTCTTTTTGTTCAGATAGTATCCAAAAATTAGTAGCAAAAAGTATGTAAAGAAACCTTGGGGCATGATTTATTTCTTGTAACACAAAACATAATGTTTGCTATTATTTTTCTGCTGGTATTTTGTGTATGTAATTAGTTTCCACTTAAGAGCGGAATGAATCTGATTTTTTCGCTGTTATTGAACTTCTTTATTCCCTTAAGGACCATTTAACTAGTTGAAGTAATTTTCCTCCGCTCGCGGTTGCGTTGGGGGGACTTTTCGAACCCATTGAGTGTTAGCAACAACCTCAAGGTTACGATAAATTGGGAAAAATCCCAGCGTGTGTGTGTGCGTGCGTGCGTGCGTAAGGTGGGATCGTTGTCTCCTCCCGAATGGCGGATGGCCTAATAGTGGAAAACAAAAGAAAGCGTATCAGCTTTGGTACGGTGGAAATCATTCTCATTCCCCGCCGTGGGCAGTTTCAGTTGTCGAGCTCGTCGGAGGAACGTTCCCCCTTGCTACACAATGAGCTCGTTAACGCTCCTGCGAAGAGACATCGAGAAGAAGACCTCACGCCGGATCCGTCGATGGTATATAGCTCACAATGCTTCTTGGCAGACGATTTCGCGCGAGGCCGAGGCGTGGAAGTAAACACCTCTGATGAAGTTCCATTAAGTGTTTGTGGATCACCAGGGGGTGCATTGGAGGAGGAGGAGGAGGGGGGCTCTTTTCCCATCTCATCCGGATCCCCCATCCTCCTCGGCGAGGAGGATTTGGACGTGATCGGACTCCTCCAGGGTGTGGTCGGCGAACCCGCGGCGGTGGAGCCTCCGATCGCAAACGTTACGCCGCCAGAAGAGGAAACTCCCTTGCGCCCTAGCCCCGCAAGGAGAGATACCCCCTCTAAATCAGACGCTAGTGAAGAGGGCGACCGCCATGCGGAGTCCCCAGCGCGCGCGACGACGAATGCCATAGACGATATCATAGAGACGACCCCACCCCTCTCACATGACGCGCTTGTCCTCGGGAGGGAGACGACGACCCCCACGCCGGATTCCCTCGATGTGGGAGGAGCCCCCCGCGAGCCGGGTGGGTTGAACTCCCCTACCTCACCGTCCCTGGCCGTCCCGGAGGTCGCGTCAGTTGGGATCACCACCGATGGGAAAGGAGAAGGAGAGCGGGGAGAGGGGCTGCCAACCCCCCTTGCGGCACCGATGCGGTGTGTTTTCTGTGACAAAACGATCCTCTCGCCGCCGACCAGGGACCCCAGCGGGGGCTCCGGGGCCTCCGCGGTGTCCCAGGCCGGCGTGGTATTTCACGTGGCCTGTGCCTTGTGGTGCCCGGAGGTGTCCTACGACGCGCCGGGAAAGGGGTTTCGTCACGTCGACGCCGCCGTGAGACGGGCGCGGGGGGTGACCTGCGCGCACTGCGGGCGGCCCGGTGCGGCGGTGGTTTGTGACACCGCCGGGTGTCCAGCGGGGTACCACCTCCACTGCGCTCTGCACCTTCGACTGCGGATGGCGCGGGAGACCTTCCGGCTCACCTGCCCGAAACACGCGGGTGAGATGAGTGAAGCTGGGGAAGAGGGGGAGGTGGGGGGCGGCTACCAGGTGAGAAGAACGCGACTCACGAGGCTCGTTGGATGATAGGATTATTTTTTTTCTCCTTTTTTACAGGTAAAGCTCTATTTGCTTACTTCAAATAATTATGCTGTTCTTTCGACATTTGTATCACAATTACCAACTCGGCTATTGAAAATTAGAAGAGCGTATTTTCTTTTTTTTCATTTCATCACAACCCCCTGGCGTGATCTAGGTGTAATATATGCACATGTATGTGCTCTTCAAAGCACGAAACCCAGTGTGTGAATCTTCTTCAAGGGCTTCCTTTTTCCTCTTCTGATATATTGTTTTAATTTGTGTATCCTTGATTCAGGATGCATCTTTGGGAAGAAGATCGATACAAAAGGATTTCACAGTTTTCCCGTGTCTAGTGTGTTAGTTTTGCATTATCTATATATTTTTAAGCTAAAAATACAGATATTTTCGTATATCCTTTTCCTTTTATTAGGGGGAGCGTGAGGAAGACTGGATAGGAGCAGAAATAAATGCTTAACGCAGCCGAGATTAATGCCGTAGTTGAGAGTGGAGTAGGCGATGGCGTGCAACTTGCCATTCTTCTAGAGGCCAACGGTACCGTGATCAGCTCCGCGTTCGCGTGTTCGAAGAAAGAAAGAGAAGAGGTGTACGCCCCGGTAGTTGCGGCCACCATGAACATCTGGCGTTTGTTTGGTAGAAATGACTTAACCATAAATAAGATTTCATTGGAGGAAGAGCCAGACGCGCTCGAACAGGTTCTGGTAGACTTTGGAGATAAAAAGCTGTGCGCGATGTCGGTAGCTGAAAACGTCATTTTATGTTTGATGTCGAACAACGCCGCAGTTCAGGTTGGGAGGCTGAAGCTTAAGACGATGCTGCTGCAGCGCCAACTGGATGCCATTTTACGCCCTATTATGGTGGAATCAAGGACCTAGCATGATTCTTTTTGCATAGATATTCATATATTTATACACTACACTACCCTTTCCAAGTGGGAAGGGGGGAGGCTGCTTATGGTAATCTTGCTTGCTTCGTTATAGTGCATAACTCACATTCTCACCATAATGAAAGAAAAAAATAGGAGCCCGCCACTTGGGTGTGAAAATAAATAAAGATGTTAAGATAAAGCAGAGGTTAGTTCTATTTTCCTACACTTGCGAATATTTTTCCTTTCTCTATACTTTCTTGTTCGCCCTCGTTAGCTTCGTGTTCCGATGAGCATGCTTCAAGGGCGTTTGGGGCAACGATGCCTAAGGGGACGCTGGAGTATGATCAAATCACGCTCCACCCACATTTGGATATCAACACCGCTTTGCAGTCAACGATCCTGGTCTACTTTTCGCAGTGATATCGCGCATCGCGCGGATAACCAAGCTGAAGTAGCGGCCTCGGGTGTTCTCAACCTTGTCTCGTCGGGATCCGATCCGGCCGCTGCATCCGCGGGGGGGTTCACGGCGATCTTTTTCGCCTGCCAAGATGCCTTGGGGGTGGAGCCTTGGGGTGTAATAGCTCTTTTTGGCGGCCTTACTCGCCTCATGACGTTGTGTTTTATGTTTTATGGGGAAAGAGCTTCTGCTCGGATGCAACTCGCTCTTCCAAAGCTAAGGGAATCCCAGGAGAGGTTCAATCGCGTCTACCGCAACAAAAACGCATCCTCGCTAGAGGTGCAGCTTTCGGCGAGCATATGCAAGAGCGAGCGCCGGCGAATTTTTAGGCAATACCAGACCTCAAATTTTCAATGTTTTGCCTCCTTTCTTGGCACTCCTTTGATAGCGTATGGTTTGTATCGCATCTCTCTTCTCTGCTCAGACACCTCTTTGTTGGTAGGTATCTCGCCTTTTCTTTGGTGTACGGCGCTATCGCTTCCAGATCCCACTCTTGCACTGCCTGTGGTGTGCGTCGGTCTCGCTCTCCTCAACTTTGAATTATCGTTGCGGAAGGAGCTCAAGACAGAATGGATGACGAAGATCGTCTGGTGCGCACGTTTCTCGTGCCCCTTCTTTATTGTTGTGATATCCACCTTTTCCACCGGCGTGTGTTTGTACTTCTTTGGAGTAAGCTTGGTAGGCCTCTTGCAACCTATCTTGCTCCGCGTGCCCGTTTTTCGGCGATTTCTTCGCTTTCCCAGTTAACAATCAGAATTTTATTTCCTACCGTATATGCCTATCGTAAGGAATTTGATAAACATATATGCCACATCTCAGAATAAAGACATGCAATACGTAAATAAAACTACGTAAAGTCACCAGCGGAGTGATTCACGTAAATTTACGTGTGTGTGTGTTTTAGTGCTGCGGCGGATTGATGAAATGAGTGCAGCGCTGTTTTCTAACTAGTTCTTCTTCTATTGCATCAGTAAGAGGAGGGGGGTACCAAGTGCCGAGACCACGAACATAACCAAAAAAAGAGAATCAGTAATCTAGAATAGATCGAACATCAAGCATAAAAATAATGGTACTTTTGAGAAAATCCAGCGTGCTCCGTTTCTACAAGAAGCACACGGAGTCTCGAATGGGCAATCCACTCCGTCGTTATTTGTATCACTACCTCATTGGTATCGGTGGGGTAGGCACCCTGAGTTATTTCATTTTGATGTATCATTTGGCAGGCTGGGAGGCAAAAAAGCACGGCAACGCCTCTGGCTACTTTGTTTGCTCGCCCAGTATGATGGATTTCTTCTGGATGCTGCCGATAAACCGCATTTCAGACTTTTTCGGCAGCTTGTCGGATGTGGGAACGCTTTCTCCGAGAGTGCATCACGCACTCATCAGCGCCCTCGTGTGGCTCTTCCAGATCGATCTTTCGGAGTCGCGTCAGGGAAGCTTTGATTCACTGCAGGATTTTTACACACGCGAGTGGAAGCCGGAATGTCGTCCGATAAACCGCGCCGCGGTCGGAATCTCACCCTGCGATGGTGTCATCGTCGAACTGCTTGAGAATATCCCCGGTGATGTGATGTTTCGCGTCAAAGGCTACACGTACGGGGTTCGTTCGCTTTTCAGATCCTACCCGCCGAGCGTTCCGGAGGGGTATAAACGCGTCGCTGTGGTGATTCGGATGCGGCTTGCCGATTTTCACCACGTCATCGCACCTACCAGATTTTATTGTGAGGAGAGCGTGTACGTTCCCGGCGCCCTGCTTCCTACCACCGTGGCAGGCTATCACTGGCTCCCGGGCGTTCTTGCGTTAAATGAGCGTATTGTGGTGCGTGGAAAGTGCGCTGACAATGTGGGAAATGTTTTTTTGGCGATGGTTGGAAGCACCCTGACGGGGAAAATGAAGTTGAGCTTTGACGAACGTGTTCGGACAAATTTCCTAGATCCACCGGATTACGCCGTCTTTTCAAAGTACCGTGTGAAGCCGCTGCTCGCGGTGGGCAGTCCGGTGGGGGTTTTCCTCTGGGGGTCCTCCCTCGTGCTGATGATGGACGTCCCCAACAGTGCGAAGTTTCAACCCAAACGTGGTGATATCGTGAAGGCTGGCGAAGCCCTTTGGATCTAGATCCGCCCGCACACTCATACGATAATAATTATAAAGGGAATGCCAACCCATCGCTGTAGTGAACTTGGTACCATTTGTGAGTACCTTGCCATTATTGATATTATTGTTGATGTGCGTACGCAGAGCATCTTTACAGTGTTTATTTTAACATATATGCATTGTGCATATAAAGAGAGATAGAGCGTGAGATCATTGTCACACACACACACAGAGAGAAAGAGATAGAAATAGGGGGGGAAGGGGGACCCCCTACAGCTCTTCGCATTACCTCAACGATGATTTGGGTCTTATTTCTCAATATATATTTCTTTTTTTGGGGGGTGCACATCATGATGTTTGACTTGTGTGTGCTTTTTTTCCCTTCGAACTCCCATTACTTTTTTCTCGCCAATCCTCTCTCTATCTGAATTAGTATTCTGATACTCAAAACCGCCGAAACGTGCAGGTGCCATGGCGGATATAGGGCCCAAGATGCCCTGGCCTGTGTGGCTGAAATTGCACAGCAAGGCAATTCTTCAAGCTTTGCCAGTGGCTTTTCTCATTGTGGTGGAAGCGAGAGATATGTACTACCGCGCAACCTGGAATGTTCTGCCTGTTCCCCCTTCAAAGTTTCAAACCGGTGACGTGATTGTGCTCTGCAATCGCTGGTATACGCTACCGGCGTGGTCGCAGAAGCTCTATAGCCTTCTGTCGAAAGTTCTACTTAAATGTGCGTGGGACGATGTTGGGTTTGTTGTGATGCGGGCAAACGGTGAGCCGCACCTTGTTTACTGTGATTTTTCAGGTGTCCACGAGGAACCATTAGGCTCGTTTTTGAACTCCCGACGGCCGAGAGGCGCAGCGGTGCGGAAGCTGAACCTAGGTGAGGGCACCCAGCCTCCAAGCACGGATATCGCTAATATCTTTATGGTGGAAGTCATGAAAAATAAGCCGCAACCTTGGTATCTGTTCTCTGCAAGCATGCGTAACGGTCCGGAGCACAAGTACTATGAATTTTGCGTTAGCATGAATAAACAACGCTGCAAGATACGAGATATGACACACCGTTCTCAATCACAGCAAGCCATCAAAAACCAGGTAGAGCGATTACACGAAATGGAAGTCATGCGAGATTATTTAGCGACTAGCGTAGAGAGAGATACAAAATTTCATCTCTTTAATGGCTCGCTAGTAGCGTCTTTCCTCGCTACGTATGGGTTTCTGGATCGAGTTCTGCCACCGCCTTCGCGGTACGTACCACAAGACTTTGCACGTGACATGCCGTTCACGGGCACAACTTCACTCGACGAACCGGTCGTCTTTTTTAAGACTTAGGGGAAGAACTTTGATCAGCACCTCAAGATTGAGTATTGTGAAGCATCCAGCCAAAGACCCCTGGGGAATGTCCTCCATCAATGACGGCAGCATGGAGGAGAGGAATCATGAGAGAGGAAAAGGCGGATCTTATTAGTCCACAATTGAAAGGGGCAAAATGCCACATCAACGAAAAGGGCCATACCTGTTGAATATTGGCACCGTTAATTTATATCACCCCATTAGGCTCTGTTATCAGATGAATTCGGAACCTAAAATGATAAGGGGGGGGGAGGTAAAAAAAGATGAGGAGCCTATCATGAACATTTTCTTCAACATTAATGATGACTTTTTGGAAGGGAAGTAACGTTAACTGGATCCTAAACTAAGGAAAGGAACGAATACAAGGGAGGGGTCCAAAGTGTCTTTAAAAATTTTTGCGAATATTTGAAGTCACACGTAGGAAAGTGTGCGAGGCTCGCCTCTTCAGCGTGGTGCACTTCTCCCACAACAGCCTGGTGAAGTTCGTCTTGTGGATTGGAGGGGTAGGCCCTGCAGGTTCAACCCCGCACACCTGGATTTACCAAAAGAAAACTCCCAAATGTTTCGCCATTCTCTTAGTGTGTGTCTGAGGGGCCTCAACGACTGATATGGTGTTTATAAATCGACCTCCCCTTACTTACTATTATAGTAGCCTTATAAAGTGGGAATTGTTACTAATGTCTTCCCCTTACCCCTCCTCTCCGTGCGAAGGGGAGTCGACGGTGAATCGAGGAAACAAGATCATCTACTTTGAACTTCTCATTGCAAACCTCTTACACTACCGAAGTGGAGTCCGATTTTGCAATTCTTTAGAATTTCAAGGTGGTTTAAATGTTCCTGATATTGTGATAGGGACGATGTGGACAATCAGCAACCATGACTTCGTTATCACACTTTTGTTCTTGTTTTCATAGGAAAATTTTAGGAGGCGTATTCTGCCTATAAAAGCATTGATTTATGCTGAGTAATTACCCAATTTTTTTTTAAGCCCAAACACAATTTCAACCTATTATTAAAGAGAATTCCTTATCCAATTAAAAATCGAAATTCTACTGGCCTAATTATCGTTGAATCTCAAATTAAAAACCATATTTGGATTATTCTTTTAACCGCTTGATCAACAGACAATCAGTGTAGTGTGTGCTTTCCCTGAAAGTTAGCCCGCTATTTCGTAACGATGGCTGAAGGAGGCATAGGTGGGAGCAACGAAAGTTTCATTTCTTTCCTCTTCTCAATTGCTTCTGTGGCTCTTATCCTACTATACATACCATGGATCATTGGTCAAATCCGAAGAATCTATCTCTATAGATGCGCTCCCAAAAAGATCCAGGCCACTATGGTCAATCCAATCAGCGAGATGTGGGATTCTCTAACATACCTGCCTTTGGTCATAAAAAAAAATGTACAGGATCCGAACATGGTAATTGCTGGATTCAAATTGTGCATGAAGGAAAAGATTTTCTTTCTGCGTTGTGTGATGCCGAAGTTTCTAAAATATGTCTTCCGGCCGCGCATCTTCGTGCCGCTTTTGTGGTTTGTTTTGTTCTCTTCGACGATGTATTCCACACTTACCTTCGATGCGTACGCCGTTTTGGAGCTGACGAAGTCCGCCTCCACGTCAGACATCAAGAAGGCCTACCGCACTCTCTCAAAGCGCTACCACCCAGATCACAACAAAACGGAAGAGGCTCGATATATTTACCTCCAAGTGCGGCGTGCTTACAAGTCTCTTGTCGATCGCGAGGCCTTCGAGAAGGAAGAGGAGCAAAACCTTCACGATTATTCAGTAGGCGTTGCGTTACCACACTTTATGACGTCTCGTGAACACGACGGTCTGGTGCTGTTCGGTCTGCTTGGCATCTTGATTGCGGCGCCGTTATTTTTATGGTATAAATTAACTAATGACAGAGAGATTCCAAATCTTCTATGGAAAATTCGCTTTGACAAGGAGCGCGTGGCGCGCTTTATGAAGCACTTTGGCATCCCCGAGGATCCAAAGTACGTCGAGCGGCGTGATTCCCGTAGGGCCGTTCTGAACATCCTCGTATCTCTTAGAATATTGCCCGCCTACACGGATGAAAGTGTCGTCAACAACTTCCCGCCACTCCTAGATTTCGTTCAGCGGTGCATCGACTCTAAAAATAATCGTAATTTGTTGCTCGGGCTTGGTTTGCGCGAGACGGATATTGAAGTATTGCATGACTCAATGGTCAGTAATGGTGTGGAGATCGTAGAAAATTTCACACGCGCTGCCGAGGAACGACTCTCGAAAATGTCGGACTCCGCTGCCGACTCTACGAAACAGCTTACACAGTCAGAGTACCGCGCCATACGCTATTTATTCAGGCAGCACACGGATCAAGTAGATAATGCTCTGATGAAGTTGAAGGAACAGATGGGTGGAGCTAACCTGCCGAGTGTTAAAAAGCTCTTGAATACCCACCAAGAAATGTATGACCTACTGGATATGATCTATATCAGGGGCAACAAGCCTAGCAGGAATCATTTGAACCAGCTTATGGAGATGCCGCAGCGCGTTTCAGACTTGGTAGATGCGATTGAACCAGACATCCAAATTGTCTACCGACGCTACTCCAACTATCTTAAAAAGAGGATAGAACAGGAGAGAAAAGAGCGTTAATGCCCTATACGCGCACAGGATACCTTCTAAGATGAAGTATGTATGCTTGTTCACAGTGTTTGGGCCTACAGAAAAAAACGATATCATATATTTTATCCTTAACAAATTCTAATTGTGTCTCTAAAAGAACTTTTGAAAGGATATGAAGTACTAAGGCTTTATCATAACTTATATGATTCGCCAAGTTAATAGATATGCTCAAACTACTAATAATGGGAGTCAAGTTGTTGTTGCGTACGGACCCCTGCTAACTGATCTTTGAGGGTGCACTTATCTCCCCTTAACATTCCATGAGTATTAGTTGAATGTTGCAGTTCTTTCTAACTTCGCACGCGTATTTTATATTTTGCAAAGTTTGTAGTTTATCCCAATCGAATTAAGCTTTTTAAAAATCAAGATAGTCTTGAAGAAATGGCCGGATTAGAACAGCGGAAGCTTCCAAAAGCACCCAGAAAGGCGAAGAGTAGCCTAGACTCCACTCTGGCGAAAATGCCCTCCTCTAAGAAGTGGGAAAAGAAAATGAAGGAAAGGGATCGAAAGCAGCGGTTGAGTAAACTTTCAAGCCAACTCCGTGATGAAATAAATGCTGAACAGAAGCGCGCAGCGGAATCTCGCAAGGCAAATGAGCTACGTAAGCAAGAAAATGAGAGGAAGAATATGGTAGTCCAGACAATCAAAAACGACCGCAAGGTGAAGAAACTTAGTCCCAAGCACCGGCGTGCAGCCCGTATTTTTATGCTTCATGAACTTTAAAATACCTGCTTGTGCTTCCCTGTAAAGGTTTTGGATTTGATTTTCTTCTAATTTTCGGTTAACTATTTTAGGCCATTTTATTGGCATTAATGAGTAAGAAAAATAAAATCCACTCGAATGAATGCTGAATTTGCTTTCATTCGTTTATTCAATACGGAAGTAAAGGGGGATACTTAGCTTTATTTGGAGATTTTTCTATCATGTTTACTACCCTCGATTTGTCACGCGGATAGAATGGCATAGATTCCTTGATACATCTTATTTTTATTACTTTCATAGATAATGTCGAATCGGTCATGTACTCCGCCCACGCGAAACAGCGAATGCTCGGCAGGTGGGGTATTCCCATTTGATTCCAAACGCACCTCCTGCACCTATGTGAATGTTGAGCGTCGCCTCGGTCTCGACGACGACGACGATGACGACCACACCCGCACCCCGTCCTGTCAGGACAGCCGGCGCCTCGCCAGCCCTCACGGCGAGGAGAGGCGCCACGCCTCGCAGCACTACGACCCCCCCAGCGACGCAGCCCGGCCGCCCGCGCTGTGCTGCACCTACCCGGGCCTGAGCGTCCTCGCGGCCCCCGCCCGTTGCTCCCTTCACAGGAGTGGTGAGACCTCAGATGGGCAGGCCGTGTGTCGCACAAGTGGGGATC